TTTTTTTTTTTAATAAATGATACTCTAGTTCTTTTTTAAACTGGGTACATTATACATTTATTCCAGATCAATTAGCTGAAACTTTGACCTTTACAAGTAAGTAACTTTGAAACTAATTATTTTTTATGTTTAAAATAGGAGGAGTGTTAGTAAATTATTAAAACTTCTTCAGGTCATAAAGAAATCCTAGTAAGGATTTTTAGATATCTATATCTTATTTTAAGGATCGCTTGTTTTTGTTTTTCTTAAGATTAAGTTATATTTATCTCTTTACTCAATTGATTTTAGTAACTAAACTGAAACGCACCAAGTTATTAGTCCTAACGTCCAAAAAGAACAAACCCTGGTTTACCTTTTATGAATACTGTATTTAAAGTAGAAGCAATAATAGATTTATACTTGTAATACAGTAAATATTGCTTATAACGCACCAAGTCACGGGTAGCAGAATATCTTTTATAATGCACTCTGCTATTACGTATTTCTGATATAACATACCAAAATACCTGGTCAAAACGAGGAAACTGTAACTTATTTTTTAATTAATATTGTACTGAAATAATGAATTAGTTCTTATAAAACAGTAAATCTTGTTCTAAACTGAAATGTATTAAAGGTTGTTAAATTTAATTTACAGGGCTTTTTCAAGGAGCGGCGAAACGGCGGTTGTATTTTTCTAAATTTTACAATCCTTAATACTGCTCTGATTTTCCAACGACTATATTTAAAAGGGTAAAAAAATAGTCAACATATTAAAATTGAAATGTTCTGAACTGTTTCCTGTTTGTTTTCTTTGTATATACTAACGTATTTAACAGTTAATAAATTCGGTAAAAATAGGTGATGTGTATAAAATGTTTTGTTTGTTTTTAACGTAGTTTAATCTAATAGAGCGTACCGATTTTTATAGTCCATTGGAGTACGCTATAACCGAGTTTCTTTGAATGTTGAAAAAAGTTCGAGTTTAATATTTAGGTAGAACAAACAGGAGATTTTTAAAGTTTTTCTTAAGACCAAGTTGCGAACATACGGGTGTACTTTTGTTATTTACAATTTCCTCTCCCTGTTTTTTACAGACATTAGCAAGTTCCTTGATAATTCCAGTCTTTCCAGGACGATGGACATCCTGCTATAAATAGTACTGAGGTAAGTTAAGATAAATGTTATCCGTTCCTATTGAGATGTTTGTTGATTGGGGAGAAATTCCCGATATTTAGGGCTTTGACGAAAGCTGTAAGAGATGTAGGAAAAATATTTAGCTAGTGATTTCAGATGAGAATGTTCTCAGTTACCCCGTAAAAAAATACATGGAAGCGAATAAAGGGCGGACCTTATCTAAACGTGTTTCTTACCTAGGTCAGAATCCCATTTAAGTACTGCAAGTCAGATAAGTCAGGACGGAAGGAGTAGTAGGGATATAAAGCAGAGGATAGCGCCAGGGTCGAGTCGCCTTCAATACAAAGAAGTCACATCTTTGCTCGCGAACGGTTAATTTAGAAATACGAAAAAGATTGTTAAAGGTGTATGTTTGTAGCACGGTGCTGGACGGGTGCGAAAAATGGACGGTGGGTGTGGCGGAAAAGAAAAGTTAGAAACGTTCAAAATGTGATGTTACAGGTGAATGATGAGGATACCGTGGATANAGGCATGAAGGTCTAGTCAGAGACATATTAGAGGCAGAAACAGGAGTTAGGAGGGGTAGAGGTAGACCTAGATTAGATTACTGTTCGCAAATAGTTAAGGATGTGGGTTGTTCTAGTTTTAGGAGAATGCGAAAATTAGTTCAGGATAGGAAAGAGTGGAGGTGCGTGTCCAGTCTTAGGACTGACGACCTTATAAGAAACTATTCCTTGTTTTTACGTGATAAATAGTTGAATATTTATCTCAAATAGAAGAGTTTATGATTATAGACCCCACTTCATTCAAGTACATACTTAACTTTCTTATATCTTATAAATAATTGTTATATTACTATGTCATTTTAAATGTCATGTCAAATTCTCTACAAAGCTGTTCATGGAATCAATAGTAAGATCTTTTTGAGACCTTTACTTTTGAAATCAGAAACTTATTGTATGAAAATTATGATTAAACATCTGCATTGGTTTAACTATTGAGCATACGAAAAACCGTTAAATCATAACTTTAGCTGCTTTAGCTATTCACCAGTATCTTGAACTAAAACTGAATGTTGATTCTTACTCTATAACATTTTATAAATAGCGCCTTTATGAGCGCAGTAAAAACGTAAAACTTTGTTTTTATGATTTTGTGAAAAACAAGTTGATTTCCAGTTGATAATTTTTTATAAATAATTCTTGTAATTTTGAAGTAATTCCCCTTCTTTCGTAAATAAATAATTCTAATTGCCTTCTCTTTGAGTTGTTTACAAATAGACAGAATTAAATTAATTTTTAAATTTGTACAAAAACTTTTATTTTGTTGTTTAGCTTAAAATCGTATCTCAGACCCTGAAATAGCATTTTTGTTCAAAGTGTTCACATTTTGATAACTATCATAAATGAAAATTCTCTTATAATAGCTTATCCTGTAGAAATAATTCAATTTAGAATGAAATTTGTTATTTTGAAGCTTTCGGGATATCATCTAGTACGTCGTCTAACATACACATTTCCGAGATTAATTTTAACAGGAACGTAAAGCGCTATAATCCATGATTTCACAAGATGCGGAAGAGGGAAGAAGCAACGTTTTCGTTATTAGATTCCTTGTTGGGTTTGCTGATGACTGTGAGGTAAGAAGAGGGTAAGTTTTATTATTTTAAAGAAGCACTAAAACACTGGACAAACCACAAACGAAATTAGATGGCTATTTTATATTATATTTTTCTAAAGCTGAAGTACATTGCAAATATTTATTATACAGGGTATCCCGTGAGTCTAAAATCGGACATTTAGTTTAATTTAATTTTAATTGAGACAAGCGTATATTACGACCCTGTCTTAAAGTAATTGATTGATAGATTAATTAATTAATTACATTAATTACTTCTTTCTACGTTTTTGTTGCTTTCGTTAATGACGCCAATTAGTTGTAACAGCGTAAAATTGTAACAGGTCTCACTGTGTGCATCGAACAGGTCCCAAAATCGCACGATAATTAGGACGATTTTATTTAAGGTCTCATGCAAAATTACAATTTAGTTAGTAATGCTTTTAATGAATTAATTATGTTAAAGGTTCCTTTTGGCAATTCAACTGGGTATTTGTCAAACTTTTTGGTATTCATGACATCGAGGTAATTACCAATTAAAAAAAAAAGCATTGTCAGCCCACCGCCGCAGGGTTGGTAAATTGTTCAATCTTTTTAAATTGCGTCGCTTTTTCTTCACTAGCTTCCATTCTTTCTTAATTATTTGGCACAATACAACGATGAGACTTTTAAAAAGCTTTGCTTGGAAAACAGACCAATAAAAAATTCTCCGATCGTTGTGTATGTTCATCGATCTATGCGTTGTGTAGATTTTGGGGTTCCACTGTTAAATAGTTGAATTGTAAAAACAGAATGCTTGCATTTTATGCATTCATTTCGTAGTAATTTTTTTTGAATGCTACTAAAATACTGATTTGCAAGGGGAGAAAAAGTAGGGAAAGAGCGAATATAAAGATAGGAGACGAAAAATTAGAAGAAGTGGCTGATTTTAGATACCTAGGAAGTCAGATAAGTGAGGATGGAAGGAGTAGTAGGGATATAAAAGAGGATAGCGCAGGGTCGTGTCGCCTTTAATAAAAAGAAGTCACTTCTATGCTCGCGAACGGTTAATTTAGAAATTCGAAAAAGGTTGTTAAAGGTGTATGTTTGGAGCACGGCGTTGTACGGGTGCGAAACATGGACAGTGGGAGCGGCGGAAAAGAAAAGGTTAGAAGCGTTCGAAATGTGGTGTTATAGGCGGATGATGAGGATATCGTGGGTAGAAAAGGTTAGAAATGAAGAGGTATTGGAAAGAATAGGAGAACAGAGGACTCTATGGAAGTCAATAAAAAATAGGCGAGATAGGTTGGTAGGACACCTTCTCAGGCATGAAGGTCTAGTCAGAGACATATTAGAGGCAGAAACAGGAGTTAGGAGGGGTAGAGGTAGACCTAGATTAGATTACTGTTCGCAAATAGTTAAGGATGTGGGCTGTTCTAGTTTTAGGGAAATGCGAAGTTTAGCTCAGGATAGGAAAGAGTGGAGGTACGTGTCCAACCAGTCTTAGGACTGATGACCTTATGATGATGATGATGATGACTGAATCCCTAATCAATTGAGGTAATCATGAAAAATCATTTTTAGTTTCGAGAAAATGTTTTTGAAACTAAGCTTTTTGAAGTGAAACTTCTTTACGCACGGTAGGGTAAGTTCGTTTCATGCGAGTTGCTATGTAACGACATCATGCAACGGATGTCCCCCCTCTACTCGGCCACGTAGTCGAGTTCGTAGTGGGGATCGCTTGAGCCGTGAGCGCGCTTCAATGCAACGTTCGTTACAGCCAACTCCGGCATGTATAGTGCAAAATTTAAATTCGTAGTGTACAAATAATACCATTAAACTAATTCCTTAACCCCTATCTCGTTATGTTTGCGTGTTTGAAGAAGTTTCATTTCAGTAGCGTGTTGTATAATTACACGCTGTATTTTTTTATGATTAGATTATGATGATTACAGTTATCATTATCAAATTATCATCGTTGTATTATTAGTACTAATTTTATTCAATTACCTAAATTTAATTTTTTAATTTAGACTTTCACGATAACCAGTTGACATTGATTTCTAATAAACTTTTCCTGTTTCCTTGTATATCTTCAGGGCATACCTGAACAACTCTGTGAAATTCACGAATTGCTGGGAGAAATTGGAAAAGATCAATAGAAATTTAATTATAAATTATTAATTATTCCGATTTGCAGAAAATCTTATATACACTAATAGGAATTGTACCAATTTTCACTCAACATATTTAAAACCAGTCCATCTAGTTAGGTATATAGGCAGATATATACAGAACAATTTTCTTTCGATTTTGTATGAAAATTTGATGCATTAGTGAATTCACACAACAATCGACCCTTAAAATATAAAAAAGAAATCAATACTTTTTCTACATTAAAAGGAACTACGTAGAAAAGCAATAGGTTTTTTATAGTCTTAAAATTCTGAATTTTTTAATATTTATACCAAAAACAACAAATACTTACCGGTAAATAGTACCTTTACAAGCGAGTTATACTGTTAATTATTAAAACGCGTTCAGCGAATGCCTCATCACGATAAGGTCGTCAGTCCTATGACTGGCTGGACACGCACTTGCTTTCCTAACCTGAGCTAATCTTCGCATTTTTCTAAAGCTAATCTAGGTCTATCTCTACCCTTCCTAACTCTCGTTTCTGCCTCTAATATGTCTTTGACTAGACCTTCATGTCTGAAAAGGTGTTCTACTTAACCTATCTCGTCTATTTTTTATTGACTTCCATAAAGTCCTCTGTTCTCCTATTCTTTCTAATATCTCCTCATTTCTAACCTTCTCTATCCATGGTATCCTCATCATTCACCACATTTCGAACGCTTCTAACCTTTCCTTTTCCGCCGCCTTCACCGTCCATATTTCGCACCCGTACATCGCCGAGCTCCAAATATACACCTTTAGCAACCTTTTTCGAATTCCTAAATTAATCGTTCGCGTGCATAGAAGTGACTTCTTTTTATTGAAGGTGACTCGACCCTGCGCTAATCTCTGCTTTATATCCCTACTACTCCTTCCGTCCTGACTTATCTGACTTCCTAGATACTTAAAAACAGCCCCTTCTTCTAATTTTTCGTTTCCTATCTTTATATTCGCTCTTTCCCTATTTTTTCTTCCCTTCCATACCAGTATTTTTGTTTTACTTTTATTTATTTTTATACAGTACTGTTTTGTCAATAACTCTTTCATTTTATTTAAAGCTATTTCTAACTTCTCCTTGCTAGATGCTAATACCGCTATCTATATCATCTGCAAATCTAAGCTTCAGCTCTATTGCCTGTTACTCTTTATACAAAGTTAGTATCACTCTTCAATCTTTGTAACTCATCCCTAGATTTTTAAGTATATTTAACATCTTGTCGTAGTAGCAAATGTGTATAAAAAATTTTTTATTTCGAAACAACACTAGAGACACCTTTATGAAGGCCAAGATCATAATTACCTTTTAATCGTTGAACAAGAATATCTATCATCAGAATTATCTCTACTATTAAAAAAATCTTTAGTTATATTCATTAGAAGTGTTAGAAAAAATGCATTGGTTTTTATGATTTGGTTGGCAAAACACCCACTGAATTTCTAATGATAAATTATCATTGGCCGATTTCAACGAATCAAAGCATCAAAATGCTACAATTAATGAAACAAAGAGCAGTTTATCCAGGCGCATGTCTTCCTAGTTACTATTTAGAGAATCAGGCGGCAACGTTTGCTGCTTTGTCTTGCTGACAGTGCACGATCGGGTTTTGAAATGATAACGAGTGGTGTAAAAACGTAACTTAACGCCGCGAACACCTGTTGAACATTAACGAACTATTAATTGCACGAAAAGGGAATTATCTATAAGTGGTACGCCGATCTATCAATATTACTTATGCAGCATTACAGTAAGTTGCAACAAATAGTCTTCTTAATGAATAGGGAAACAAAGCAAAGTTATTGCCTAAAAAATTTGGACGACGAATTCAACTGAAAAATATATTCTACTTATTCCTAAATTAAAATGTCATCAACATAACAGTACCAATACACGCTTTTGCAGTAATTGACTTTTTTGTAATTTGTTTTCTGCTTGTTTCTCTATATTATTTTATTTAATTTTATAAGTAATTTATATGTTTGTCTTCGAAATGATGGTTTATACTTTATACCTATAGACGGACATCCATCAAAAAATTTCTTTACGTGTTAGTTTCAAACCAAAAAAGTAGCAAAAAGAAAATCGCTTTTTCTAAATGAAAAATAAGTTTCAGCCATAGGCATACTCAGGGTTAGTGTTATATAACTTCGGAGATATACAAACGAAAGACAAATATAGTAACATGTACGTATACGCTGAAAAAGTGCCCCTATATGGTAATTCTTAGGCGAAACTTTTATGTGAGTTTTATTTGATATTGTTTCTGCTTTTCCGACTGATTAGTATAGACTTATACTGATGACGTAATCTTTCTCTCAATAATTCTACGGTTTATAACTAAAGTGATTGAAGCAGCAGTTTCAAGACGTCTGCAGTATTTAATAGGTTCTAAAATTTTTGAAAGTTTAGATAATTAGCTTGTAGAAACTTCTTGGGCGGGGATACAATTAAAATTAGGAAATTAGGACACCCTGTAGATATTAATCCTGATTCTGTTATGGTTTTAATTTCGGCAGCGTTTTGCTTCAAAGAAGCTTGAAAAAAAGCTCTGTGTTCTTAGTTCTAACAATATCTGTGAAGATGTACTATGATAAAAACTAAGAAAAAAAATTTATGAATTCCTTACAGCTTGTAATGATTTCCAACTTACAAGGACTCTGTTTTATCCTTCTGTAAGGACATGAAATCCAGAATTAAATACCACTTTGTCATGAACGACGAATGTCTTATAGATTTCAATAAAATTAAATTATTTTGTTCATTTTCTCGGTTTACATTGATTGAAACGATTGCGACTGGAAATTTATAATGCGAACGAACAAAAGAAAAGTGTAGATACGTCGAAAAAAACATTATTAGTATTCAGAACAATAACGATTTC